TTAGATATTGCTGTTATTTTTGTCCTAGATTAATAGCAACTCTGCCTTACTAAGGCTCATATAAAGGAGAGCGTTGCCCAGTGAGATATCCACTTCATGAGTGAGAAATAAATTACGAAATCTTACTGTAATGAGCAATAATTTTTTTCGCATGAGCCTTGAACAGTTCAGAATTGAACAAACAACTGGCGGTTAAAATGGGGCAAATGGAAGAGCAGCTACTGTTAAGTAAACCGATCTCCCTATTTCCTTCATAAGGCAACAGAATCCTCGGACTATTACCTCGTGATGTTTGTATTAAAATGCATATTGTGCCAGGTTTCGCATATTCGCAAAGAATAATGCGTGGTTTGATTAACAATGCTCACTTCAGTATCCACCGTATCTGGAAAACTCACATTACCACAGACTGGTTTAACGAAAGCAAATCCCTGTCTAGGCCTGCTTGCTTCCGATAAATCTTATTAAGGAAATTCATAAACAAATCCCGAACGAATGTACTAATAGCCTGTGAAGAATACCAATTAGTTCCTGGAAATTGTGCTGAAAATTGCCTGTGGGACGATGGGTAATTACGCACCCTAACACTAGAAAGTCTCGCTGAGTTTACTATTTTGCTTTACCTACCTTTCATAGGTGATAGTGGTCGTCACACCGATCCAACTCAAGGTACGAAAAAAAGTGGACCACAAAACGTTAGAACAAAAAACAATTGTACAATGGGCAATAAATCCGTCAGAAGTCCAACAAAATAGACAGACTCATCTTCCATGGGCGAGTGAAATGTTTAATTGGCATGGCATTCAGTGAACACTTTCTATCATTTTCAAAGCAAAATAAGCAGGTGAGTGAACTCTGCGTTTGACGTGGTCCGAAATGTAGTCCAGTGTCTCCGAAATGGTTTACAATATTTGAATTAATACAGTTAGTGAAAATATCACTTAATGAGGATTGCACTAGCTTAGCGTTACCTCGAGGTGGATGAAGGGCTGAGGGCAATAGATTGGCGAGACAATGGAGCGGAAACTATACAAACAATGGGGTTGATAAATAGCAATTCTTACAACTAAAAAAGAGTTTAAGAGATTATTTTACTGTGTCAGAGACAAGACAACAACGGCCACTTGGTAACCACGGTGCAGAATTAATAGGAAATCGATACTTAACACAGGCCGTTCCGACTAAGTGAACTCCATTCCCAATACTATTTAGCACTGGCCTCTGAGGTTGAGTGTTTTCAGCTAGTGCATTGCTTCTTCAACTCTCGTTTACATTAAAATCGAAAAAGACCTCCCAGATAGCCAAGATTTTCCATTCGCTAACCAAAAAGGCTTGAAAGAAGGCAATTTTTATTGCTTCCTCGTGCTACCCATTCAAACTACAAATAAAAAAGTGAGGCCTACGGTTCCCGCTTCAAAAAATGAGAGAAACACAAAACCCGAAGGGAAATGCCGGAACATTGAGAACCACTCCCTTGCCCATGAAGCCTTAAGATTTCATTTACTTGAATCGAATGTCGTCTTAAAGGCAAACAAATCGCTGTTCATAACAGTATAAAACTGTGTAAAATGCATGAGAACAAATATTGTAGCATATGGTCAGATGTTTAACTGCCTGAAGGGCTCTAAATAGCAAGATTTGAAGAAGCGCACAATTGGTAAACAGGCACAAAGTACAGTAACTAGTGTTGACTACACGTGTGGATCGTTAGTTTTAGTTAACAATTTTTAAAGTCTTAGTATTAATGAAATCAAATAAAAAAAAAATTAAGAACAACTGGGAGTTCATGAATACACTAATCCAAGGGACTCTACTAATGCTCTTGACCAAGCTAGGCTGACATTTATCGAAGTAACTCCAAGATCTAGCTGAAACAGTATAAATTTGGTAGCCAATTAAATACACTCTTAATGCTGATGAAAATAATGATTCTTTGTAAATGAGGCTGCGTAAAAGTAGGGGGGAAGGGGAGAGACTCACGTTGCTCTCGGCCTTGGTGCCACT